ACGTCGATTATGGGGGCTCATGGCAATAAATTACAACCACCTTAGAGATACAACTACCAAGATGGACGCCTTAGAGTAGTAGATAAAATACGTTAGAATTAGTAAAATATCCTAAAAGATAGTAAATTAGGATTAATAAAACATCTTAAAAAGATAATAAGATAGGATTAATAAATATCATACAAAGATAGAAAATTAGGAATTGTAAAGGAACTTATAGAGATAATGAGATAGGATTAACAAAATGTCCTAAAAAGATAAGGTACTACAATAATACATAGGAAAATAGGAATTTAAGAATTATAAAAATTTCTAGAAAGTTTTTTAAAAGGAATTTATTATACATTTTACTCAAAACCTCTGCAATCACCAACATTATGTTGACGTTTTCAAAACTCACATGTGTTCCTAGGATATTGTAAAGATCAAGTCAAGGAAGGATTTTCAGCTCAAAGAAATATAGGTTTCGTTTAATAGATAGTTATGGTTTGCACTCTTTGATTTGGATAATCTATGTACCGTCACCACTCAGCATTTCCACTAGCGGCCGGGGATGGTGTGACAAAATGGTAACAAAGCTAGTTTCTATAGCGAATTAGTACTTCTTTAGGAATTACGACTATAGCTAAGGACATATACTCCGATTAGGTTTTCCCTCAAACCTACAAATAAAAGTATTACTATTAATTACCCTACTGATAGACTACTTATGGGAGAGGTGAGTAGTTTGTATTGTCACTTGGATTGCTGGATTTCAGAATGATTATATACTAAAATGGTTTAGCCCTCGTCACTTCTCATTTAGCCGATCCTTATTTTAATAGTCTAAAAGTACAAAATAATAATAGCCGCCAATCTTGAATAAAATATACAACACAATATATATATATATATATATATATATATATATATATATATATATATATATATATATATATATATATATATATATATATATATATATATATATATATATAAAAGTCAATTACCTAAGCTGGTTTAGTATGTAAAGGTTGAGTTACTCCTAAATGTAGTCTGATCAACTATGTTTAGTCTTGACTGAACCAATACATCGACTGAATTAGGGTTAGATAAACAATAACATAGACACGATATATATATATATATATATATATATATATATATATATATATATATAGCAGAAATGAAGTCAATAAGAATTAAAACATGAAAAGTTGGAATCTTTACAAATATACATGAACTCATTTGATGCATAGACTTCACTGTCGTTGAATTGTTCGTCAAGTTTTACTAATATTTTTATATTGACACGTGATATCCCTATGGATAATGCAAAATAGATAAATTTTGCCAATGATTCCTCCATGTCCGTCTGAAGATGACATGTTCCCAGTCAATCTAAAGAGAAAACATTTTCCAATGCGGTTATATTTCGCGATGGCAATCAATAAAGTTCAGAGACAAACAATTTCAAATGTAGGTATATATCTTCCAGAATTGGTTTTCTGCCTCAATGACATTGTGCTGAAAACTTTTGCATGTCAATCTAGTGCTGTTACACAATCCTTTTAAAAGGTTCAATATTTCGTAACAATATTATTGATCCGACTTTTTACCGAAGGTAGTGATGGGATAACCCAATAACAGTGAATGAATTTAAGAATTCCACCAGGTAGAAGTTATTTCTATTATTTTCTGCTTCATCAAAACTATAGTAATTATCTCTTATCCACCGAATCAGTTGATTAAATAGTCATTAATCTGATCGATACTTTATTTTTGGTGGATAAACTGTACATGATTAGTGGACAACAAGTAGTTTCTTTCAACATATAATTTCTTTCACCAATTTGTTTATTTTTTGTTAACTGACAATATTTTGTAACCTAGAAATTTGAATGTGACATTATGTAAGAAATTTTCAATGTTTAGAGTATTTAGTTATTGATAAAAAAAAATATCACTTTACTATACGATTGATGAGTGATTTATTAATACAAACATTTGGTCTTCTTAGTTGAAGCATTTGATCATATACATATTTATTTGTTTAGCAACAAAAAAACATAATGGATTCATGTCAAGTTTGTTATCTAGTTTTATAGGCATATAATTATTGATATTATCAAACATATTATCTCTATTTTTTCAATTCATAATGATAAAAATTGATAAACGTGTTATCTCAGTTTTATTAATATAAGAATGTATAATGTTAAATTGATAAAATTATATATTCCGGTTTCACTCATCAAGTATTATTAATGATTTTTTTAATTTTTATTTACTAAAAATAATATGAATAAATATTATTTTTTTTACATTTTAACTTGAATAAATTAAAATTTAAAAATCAACCCACTAGCATTTATTTTCGTAAAACCTAACCACTTGTAGGTTGTAGAAGTGGAAAGTTTAACATTGTAACATAAAAATCTAAAGCTTTTTTATTAATATTTTATTAACCAACTCAATTTTTTACCACATGTCAACCTCTCATTAATTTTGACACTTGTTATTTTATGGTATTTTTGAAATAAATATTATCACTTATCAATTTTTGGTTTATTTCAATTTTTAAAATTAAAATCATATACTTATATATGTAAAGTATTAAATATGATATATATGATATTAAATTGAAATAAATATGTATCTTCTTTATTTTAAAGTTATATATTAAAAAAAATTTATGTTCACACTTTAATGTTTATTATTTTTTTTTAAATCAACCCGTGTAATACACGGGTTTCACAGCTAGTTAATATAAATATATTATGTTTAGTTAGTATTCAAACACGTAATCCAAATCGACCCTTTTAACATCAATGGGCTATAAATGGCATTAAAGTAAGTGAATTTGTATAATCTAAATATTGGTTAGGATTCTGCAAATCAAAATCGACAAATAATCATAGCTTTCATATTGTTTTTCTTGATTATGTAGGTTATAAAACTAAATGAGTGGCTTAGAGAATATCGTTATACATGTAAAATATGCAATGACATACAATGAGTCTACTATGCAAATTAAGTTCATTGCTCATTGCCAATGCAATATGTTTACAGTTGCTCTGCAACACAAAATATCATTACTCATAAAAGGTTTAGGTGGTGAATATTTATGTAAAATAGATCTAAAACGTAATCACATAAAAGATAACCGACCTCTCATAATTTGTCTCTAAAGCAAACAACTACGGACTTGCACAAATTTATTTAAATAAAAGAAAGCCGAATAAGAGAGAAGTAACATAAAATGACCAAATAAAACCCAACTGCACTTCAAGAACAAATATACCTAATTACAAGTGTAGCAGAAGGTAACAAACCTCCATAGTAGATTCGTTCATGTATTACTTTGAAATATCAGTAAGATCCCTTCCAATAGTGTATTTTTGTATATGGTTTTGGATTACCCTTCTTGTCCCTGTTTCACCTTATCTCTACAAACCCAAAACAAAAAATTCACCAAAATTAACCACAAGTTAGTCAAAATGGTGGATTGAAATTAGAACACTACCATTTGCTTTTAATCCCAACTAATAACAAAGACAAAATTAAATGACGGTTGTACCCCTTAGATCTCCAGAAGTGTTGGAATGGAAATTTAATGTCTTTTTTTTTTTTTTTTGGTAAAACCTGGATATAATTAAAAAAGATTTTTCTTCTGAACCTGATAAATACTTGAAGCATATTTTTTGACAACATCTCGTTCTCCTCCCTCCAGTTCTAGGGCCTCTTACTGTATCCACATCTCCTTCGATAAAACAAAAAGAAAAACTGAAAGATTAAATACACACATAGAAACATTCCCTCAAACTTCCAGGAAAGGAAAATCAACTTACATGCACAAGAATAATATTTACGCAGAAAGCTCTCAGGAATGATGCCATATATTTTATAAAAAAATCAAAATTAAGAGAGAGATTAAGAGAGGAGAGAGGAGATAGAAATCTATACATATTAAGAACTCACTTGTAAGAAATTGAGAAAACTAAACCATGAGTCTATGATTGATCAAACTTGTGTAGCCACGGTTGATCGAAATTCTCCTGATTTCACTCCTTCATGTAACTGTGGTGAATCATTGGCCACACCATAAACCATAAATCCATAAGAAAAAACCCATGAAGAAGCAGCAAGAATAGAATCATTTAAGAAAAGGAAAAAAAAACCTATTTCTTAACCACGCACCATTAAATAGGGAGTTAGATGATGGTACCAAATCAGAAAAATAAAACCCTAAATCGAGGTGGTGCAATGCTATTCACGTGAGATACATAGATAGATAAGAAGGAACAGAAGAAAGTGTTGTGGTTTGTTGTTGGAAGCTGGTCAAAGACAGTGAGATGATCGTGGAGGTAGTAACGATGATACTAGTGTAGGTGATAGTCGATGATGGTGGCTTTTCATTTGTAGAATTAAAGAGAGAGGTGGTGCAACGATATTGAAATGGAGAAGAAGAGTGGTTGTAGGGAGATGGTTATATAAATGGAAAAGATTAACAAAGGTATAGTATTATAAGGCGAAAAAAAATGCGACATAGTGGGTAGCTTGTTAAACAGGTTGGGGACAGGTTGGGGACCGAGTCAAGAGTCATCCGCAGAAGGGTTTTAAATAACTGACATCGAAGATTATTTATAAACCTCGTGTTTGACCGATCAATAGGGTAAAAGCGAGTAATACTTATTCAATGCCCATCCTTTTCAATTGAATAGATAAGATTTAGTTTGTTTTGGTTTACGAATAAGATTTATTATTTGTTAATGCATAAAATGTTTGTACATATTGCAGTCATGTTTGTACATCTTAAAATTCAGCATTTAGGGGTAAATGCTTATTAATGTGTATATATATATATATATATATATATATATATATATATATATATATATATATATATATATATATACGCACACACAAACACGCACAAATCAAAGGCATACATAAAGTGTATCAAATACATCCCACAAAATAAGTATAAAAATTCAAAGTATCAACCCAAACACATCAACCTACTCATTGTTGCTCTCATACTCACCCTCCTTGTCCCCCATGCCTCCATCATTGTCATTATTAGTATCCCCATGATATGTACCTGACGGACCAACACCATGATGACCTGGCTGAGCAGATGGTGGAGCAGTAGCATCCGTATGAGGAAAAGGTGGATGGTCCATCCCCAGAAGCTGCATCACCCCCGTAATCAAAGCCATGATCTAGTGATGCTCCTCCTGTGCAACTTCTAAATACTGCATTACAACACGTAGAGTCGAATCCAGCTGATCAGGCTTTGCATTCCTAGGTCTCTGATGCCTCTCGAAGGCAGGCTCATGGATGTCCTTCGGCTCCACCTATCGGATTGACTCCACAATATCGTCATTCGGAATCCTACACTACCGCCCAACCCGAACCAACACCTGCATCTTCCCTATAATGGTAGTACACATCTCTTGGATAGGCATATGAACCATCTCGCTAGTGTCAACCTCATAAGATAGGGCTAACCGAGTGAGCCTGTGACCCCCGTAAATCCTACTCGAAGGCATGGAACCTAGAGCCATACAAGATAAATAGAGAGTTAGGGAAAAGGGAAGATGAAGGAAAAATTCAGTTTGAGTGAAGCACCATATATAGAAGAGATCGCCAGAAGGAACCTTGTCACATTCCTCATAATAACAAATAGTAGAAGCAACCAATGGGGGGATCAACTGATAAATAGGAGATCAGAAGGCACTCTCCTTGGCCGTCCTTAAAACATAGGTCCCCCTCGCATGACCCCAGACCTTCATGTAGTTCTACTCCTGCGATGGCTCAGCAATACAGCTGTCAAGATAGGCATAAAAATGAGGACCCAGAGTCTCCTCTACTATCTAAATCTCTAGACGCCTCCCCTACACAATCAGGCTGCAGGAGCGGGATACGCCTACAAAGTGAAAAGTAAAGGCCGATCTGCCAGCCTATCTAGTTGACGTCTTGTTGAAGCGCAATGTCGAAAACAACTCCTAGCAGAGCTCCTTGCAAATCACCTCCAGGGCCCCAAAAACCTGTTGCCACCCTTGATAGACAAAAAGCTCAAGACCGTTTTCATCCCACAATACATGGGTAAGGAATGGCTCCAGATGAGCTGTCAACCCGGACTTGTCTGCATCCCTCTAAGAAAGTGCCCGATGAATGCCAATCTTCTTATACAGAAGAACAATCATACAAGAAACAAAAGAACTCGGATTAGGAAGATCATCGAGGAACTGTAAGAAAGGATGCGATGGCCAATTCGGAGGTAACTAACCCACAGCTTGTCGAACTCATCTAGACATATTTGTAAAAGCCAATTAGGAATAAGGTAGATTAGTTAAATGCTACATAAGGTGTTGAAATGGACCAGACACGTAAGGTACACACTGCGTGCGAGTGCATGCGATGCACATGCATCTGTGCGGCGTGCTCCAAGAACACAAAGAACAACAGGCATGGTAACCTGCTTTTCGTCCAATTTTTGACTTAATAACCATATATGTGTTGGATTAATGTCTAAGTCCATAACTAGAATTGGTAAGACTTGACTCGACCCGGCGTGGTCCATTTGGGTTGCATGGCATCATGCATTTGGATAAGACTATAATGAGAGAAATAAGACACTTATGGTTATTAATATATTATAAGTTCTAGTATATTAATAATAAGAATAATAAGATTATTTAATTAGTATTGATCAAGAATTAATCTAGGATTAATTAAGTGATCAAAAGAAGACTAATTAAATATATGGGTTGATTGTGTAAATCATCCATACTTGTATAGTGGGCTAATGCTCCATGGATTATCTAGTTGGGCGAAAACCCATATGATGCTCCATGTATGCTCCATGGTGTATTTGAACCCATGGATCCAAGGAAATGGAAAGTCATGACAATTAGGGTTTACCCTAATTGTAACACTATATAAAGATCTTATTCTTGACAAAATTCGGCCACTAGATCATTCTAGAGAGGGCTAGCCGATTTCATGAAGTGTAGAATTCTCTCAAGTTATTCCAAGTGTATTTGGTGTTGTGTGAACCATTTGAGGTGTCACACTTGGGGCACTAGGCACTCAAGCTTCATGAAGACTTTCTACATGAAAAAGGTATGTATTCTAGCTTGTTATATCCATTGTTTTGTATGCTAGATTAGGATAATACATTAGATGTTCATATTTGCATGTATAATAGAGAAAACATAGATCCAAGGTATTTAGGGTTGCATGTACACTTAGGAGAGTTAGAATGCTCATAACCCAATAGTGGTATCAGAGCCTAGGCTTGTTTTCTTGTTATACTTGCAAATGGAGCTGAAAAATCAAGTTTTGATGTTGTCTGCCCAGCAGACTCGCCGATTCCAAGGCAAAAAGCATCCAACTCGCTGAGTTGGTTCGTGCACTCGACGAGTTGGACCCCCAGACAACATAAATTTGACTTTTTTGGCTGGAATTGGACTAGGAACATTACCCTAAGATGTTTTTAAACTTATAAACTTGTTTTTGATGTGGTAATGTTCATGCTAATCCAATTTCAAAGATAATTGTCAATAGATTCATGTTTTGTATTAGTTTAAGGTTTAGACTAATTACATGAAAAAGTTTTATTTGAATTATCTTGTTCTTATGAGTTGCTTAGATTAATAGAAAAGTTGACTGAAATAGTTGTTTTCAATCCAAATTAGTCTAAGAGTTGATTCTAAAATGTGTTTTTGTAACTTGTACTCAAGTTATATGAAAAGTCACATTTAAGTTTCATAAAACTCATAAAAGTTGGCAAAGGTTACAAAATGAAGAGTCTAGTTCTAATTAATTGGTGTTATGACTCCATAATTTGTCCTCAAGTTATAGAGGACCAAGAGTCTCTTCATTAAATAATAAAAAAAGTGTAACCTTAATTAATTTCATAAGTTATAAAATAAAGAAAAGTTAATTTTTTTTTATTAGTTTAAAATCTTCCATAACTTGTCCTCAAGTTATGGAACTTGAAGAGTTTTTGGGTTAAAACTACTTTAAACACATAAGTTATGGAATTAATTAGTTTTGAATAGTTTCAAGACTTGCCTTCAAGTTTTGGAATTTGTAAAGTTGTCTTATGAATACTTTAATTCCAAGTTAACTCTTAGAATTTTAAAAGTTAAAATTCAACCCTTATACTTTATAATATTATAAGTTAATAATATATATATATATATATATATACACACACACACACACACATATATATATATATATATATATATATATTATATGTATATATATATATATGTGTGTGTGTGTGTGTGTGTGTGTGTATATATATATATATATATATATATATATATATATATAAGAGTAAAGTCAGTCTTACCGCTAATACGCCTCATTTACGAAGCCGGTCTATAAGGTGGGTATAAGATTGTTGCCTATAAAATGGCAACTTAATGGGTGTCCACTTTCACCCACCGCTTGCTTGACTGGTGGAGGGTCGTTAGCCGAATGGGTTTGACAGGACTATAATTCACCCTTCATTAAAAGTATTAATGATAAATACTAAGTAACTAAACTCTTAATAATACCCAATCTTAGTTACTTAGGAAAATGTGAATAAGGTGCTAATCCATGAAATTACACTTTGCACTTTGTTTAAGTCGATTAGTGGAGTGTGTGTGGTTAACCGGCACACTAACTCGTATTTAACAAGGTAGGAAAAAGGTAACTTAATGTTTATCATAGTATCGATGGAGCGTGTGTGGTTAACCGGCACATCGATTGAGGGGTAAACACTTAAGGGTACCAAGTAATTTGCATGGTTACTTCACACCATGTTTTGTGATCCTCGGCATCCCAGTCACAAAACCTGAAGGGCACACTCGAGATTGAAACATGCCATTGAACAGTTCAATGAATCTCAAAGATCTAGGAGTTTCAAAACCAATTAAAACCTACTTATTATTTCGTTTTTCATTGTGGAAATTGGTGAATCGTCATTCACCTACCTTAAAATATTTTATAGCTTGGATTACGGCATCCCTCTTCTAAGTTATAAAATAGTTTGTTGGGTCCTAGCCTTAATATTTCAGATTGGGTGTCATATTAAGGACTTTAGATCAACTATCTTGAATATCTCCGAAAACATGTCTGGTTTAGACATTTATGATCTTCCCAAATCTCTTGAAACAAGCTTTCCTAAATGAAGATGATGTCCCTTGGAAATCATACTTCTTTCACAGAATATTGGCAAGGCAAGGTCTAAGTGTGATCACATCTTGGAGATGTAGTCACATATTGACGAGCCGGGAAAGAAGGGTGTCAAAGTCTTGAGAAAGCTGGTGGTTCAACTACTTTCTAAGTCACACAGTGAGTTCTTTTGGAACACCTATGAAATAGACTATGACAAGACCCTTAATGATCTTATCTATTTGCTAAGATGACATTGGATATCTTAAAACTTTATGGACATTGACAATGATGACATTGGATATCTAGTAAAGCTCTCTCTTCCCAGTGGAAAGGGATCGGCCATAGTTAACTCGGTTGACCAAATGGTAAAGAGAAAAGCTAAGTATGTGATAGTCCCGTGTACCATTATCAAAGGGTCCATATGTTTATATTGCCAAAGGAAGGGTCATTAGTTGCGAAGCTGCCAAATTTACCTAAGGATGTTAAAGTCAATAAGTTTGACTCTACTTCAGGTAAAGTCCACTATCTAATTTTGCTAAGTTTCTATTATGAGATTCTTGATACATGATGTGACTAGGTCACACGGTGATGTTTTAAGAATCAAAGAAAAGTGAAGAAACTTAAAGAAAGAATATGCTGAATCTGATCGCGTAGATGGATTTCTATCGCGTAGTTTGAAGATCGGATTCTTGAGCTACTTCTTAGGAGTTATGAGATGTTTCTTAGGAATAGATAACAACAAGGTTTTCATATGGATTGTAAGGATAAGTTTTTCCGCTAAGTTTTTAAAATAAAAGGAAAAATGATGATTTTATTTATTTTAAAATATCCTTACAATGGCATTTGAGGAAAAATTGTTGCTTATATGATTCCATTAATAGCATGAGTGGAAATATGAAATTGATTCTTTCATTTGTGGTAATGTCTAAATTTACCAAATAAGGAAAGATTCTCATCACCCAAGTTTCAATTGGATGGGGACTTGGAATCATGCAAGTTGTATAGCATGATGAATGAGAACTTTCAAGTATTGGAAAAATTAAGAGTAATTACTTGTTCACATGGATGTGTGAGTCAAGTGAAGGACTAAGGTATCAAGTACACATTCTTGTGCATTGGTCAAGTCTACCACAAAAGATCGATAAGAATATTCGTCATAATTTACTATAGCTCAGTAAATATGGTTATACTTACAAGCTTAAGTGTAATTCTGAGACATTGGAAAGAGGTTCCAACGTATGGCAGAGCGAATAAGAAGAATCAACTTAGGCAGAAAGATAAAAGTTTCTCAAATCTGAAAAGATGGGAGAGTACTTTAGTATCAGTTTTATGATCATCTTAATGATTTAGAGACCTTATCACAATTCATCCTCTAAGTGCATTCTGA